CAGAGCACCAGAAGGAAACCCACGCAAACACAGGGAGAACACACAAACTCCACGTGGACGGGAATCGAGCCCAGCCCTGTAATTCAGCAAATGCTAACCACAGTGCCACCGTGCCGCCCAATTTCCTGGGTCCGAGAAACAACCGCAAAATCCTCCGTGCAGTGTAGCTTGAAAAGCATCTCAAGGCACTGGGGTTAAGAAATTAATTAATTAATCAAGGTTAATAAATTATTTGTCATCCATCCCTTGGCAGAAAGGCACACCTTCCTGTGGAGAGATCACCTGGTGCCTCGCCTGGAAGCACAGGACACACAGTGGAATTTCACCCTGGGTGGGACACTAGTCCATACACATACACAAGTAGACAGGGACAGTTTGGAGACCCAAACTGATTAAGCCTGCATGGTTTAGGAAGGTGGGAAGTAATCTCTTAAATCGACTCTTAAATGGAAGGAAACTCTACAACTCTTCACAGAGGCTCCCCAGTCTGGAACGGAACCCAAGATTCAAGATTTAATGGATAGAAACTCTAACTCACATAAGTAGAACCACACAGCTCAATAGGTTTTTTTTTATTACAATCAAAGCCAGTTCATTGTATCTATCAAAACAAAAACAGCACGATTGCTTAGTTTTTTAAATTTATTTCCAAGCAAACATTTCATCTCTAGCTCACAGTCAGTTCCCATAAGCAATTCTACTTGTAATATATTTAACTATATCGGGCCGCAGCAAGACCAGAAATGAAACAAAACATGACTCATGTATTGAGTGTATAATGAGACGGAATCAAAGGTCTAGTTTTCAAAAAACACATTTCTTTGAGACCAAGAAGGTTTGTATTCATAAAACAAAAATCCATACAACACATTCTCCAGAAAGTGAGGTTAATTGCAATTTTTTGAAACAGGAAAACCCCCTGCTAGGGCAACATTTAAAAGAAACAACCAACAGCGTTTAAAGAATGGATTTAATGGGTTATTTAATTTAAACCATTTGGATGGTGAATATTTCTAAGGGGCTGTGGGGAGATTTTCAAATGATAATGCCAGTTGTGATTAAAAAATCACTATTTAGCATAAATTTGGGCATTTTCATTTGGCAATTAAGCACATTTCTTTATTAAGAAATCACCCTCATTTGAATTGCAAATGCATGTTGATTTACATAAGTATTAACAACCATCGATATTTGCAACTATGACATGTTTGTGTGGGAATTTTAAAGGAAATCAGTGTTAATTATTGTTTTTGGGGAGGCAATGTGCTTCTAAAAAAGGGTGGCTTTAGTTAAACAGTTACATAACCAGTCTTTGCTGCATAGGCTTTAGAGAAAATAATGGTCTTGCTGGGAGCTGAAACTGCAAATGTTCTTCCTGACTTTGAAGACCCTGAGACTGACAGAGCCCAGCATCAACAGTGACAGCACAGGACCAGGCATAACATTTTAGATGCTGCTGATCTGGAATCTTGATTGTGACTGGATAACAGAGCTATTGCCGACCTTCTTGAATCTCATGGGAAGATTTTCGACAAATAGAGGTCATACTGTACCTCCATATGCAGGGGTCCTTCTGTGTCCTTACAGAGAGTTACTCGTGACTTGACAGGGCTCAGTCAATGCACCCTGTCTGTATACATCAGTATGTATCAATGCCTGCATTGATCAAAAGAGTTAACTTTCCTTAAGTTGGTGCCCCACTCAATGACATCGACTGCACATACCTCGCACTCAAACAGCCACTAGCGAATACAAATTGATTTATAAAAAATTATTCTCTAAAAGTTTGGCTGATTTGGGATCTATTGTTCAGTGTGTCAAACAAACATTATGTGAACAATCCACTTTCACCTGCCATGATCTTAATATTTTGACACGATCCAGTATTAAACTACTTTAAGGGAAGAAATGGTCTAAATGGTATATAGATAAGCACAGAACTAAATATGATAATTCAATACGTTTTAGTGAAAAGCATCTTATTGAAATGTATTGTACAGTTAGGAATGAAACATAATTCATCCATTATAGCAAATTCAAGGATGTGAGCTGCATTGCAAGACTATACTGTACAACATATTTAATAGAGATAAACCTTTATCACAGCCGTGGACACATACAGTATGTTGTGACCTATCCTGTGGATTGTGTGTATGAGAGTACAGTATGTACAATTAATTCTAGGTAAGAGGAAGGGAATTTCAATACAAGCTGTTATTAAATTCTGAATAAGCTGGAAAAATAAGGACAAAACAAGCCATATACCAATTGTGTTTTGCTGTGAGGTTTAAGTGTCTGGCTTGTGGAATATACCTTCTGGTTTATTCATCCCAAATATTCACAGAGCAACAGTCCCGGCTGTGGCTGTTCAAAGAACAGGAAAACCCCCCCTGGGTTGGAGAAACCCCAGCAACAAGAGCAAAGGATTGTGTCAAAGAGATGAGAGTGAGGAGTCCGCAGCTGCGGGGATTCTGCCCTTTCTACCAGACTGCCAGAAATGACAGCGTCTGTATCTGAAGATGCGCTCAGGCTGGGTCTGTTGCAGCTCTGGTCAGTCACGTTAAAATACAACCCACTGGCCCAGAAGGCGATTTCCCTTGTAACGGAAAGGAGGCTCACACGTTCCCAAACACGACGTTGAGATGTCAGTAAGGTGCGGATTTTACTGGAAATCGGCCACTTCGCGCTGATGGAGGCCTGACGTATCGCCACCATGCAGCTCGAGGTCTTTGTCACGTTCAGCAGCTGTTTACACAGAAGCGGGGCTAGGAGAGCTCTCCTGCCTATGTGCCGTGTTTCTCCACAGCTGCTGTCTCTCTTTCCTCCTGCTCGACAGCACAGTTCAGCTCCTGCTTCACAGCTAAAGGAGCTTCACTTCCTTACTCATCCAGTCCGGGTTACAAGGACTCTCCTAATCCGCATACCAACTATCAGCCCCCCAAAATGATTCTCTGTCTGATTTCCAGTCCCTCCAGCTTTAAGAGCCAGCAGCTATATCACCCTGCAACTCACCACTGGCAGCCCACTGAAGCTCAGCAGGTGTGAGCCTGGTCAGTACCTGGATGGGAGACCTCCTGGGAAAAACTAAGGTTGCTGCTGGAAGAGGTGTTAGTGGAGCCAGTAGAGGGCGCTCACCCTGCAGTCTGTGTGGGTCCTAATGCCCCAGTATGGTGATGGGGACACTATATGGTAAAAAAGGCACTGTCCTTCAGATGAGATGTACTGTAAAACTGAGGTCCTCACTCTCTGCGGTCATTAAAAATGCCTGGGCGTTTCTCAAAAAGATAAGGGGGTTTACCCAAATGTCCTGCCCAAATTTCCCTATCCTTTACCAGTCATGGCCTCCTAATAATCCCCATCTAATGTATGAAGTGGCTTAATTTATCTGCTGTCCTCCCCACTGATAGCTGGTGTGCAGTGAGTGTACTGGCACATCATCCAGGTTGGGAGTTCCCATTACCTGTAAAGCGCTCTGAGTGGAGTGTACAGAAAAGTGCTATATAAGTGTAAGGGGTTATTATTATTCCTACACCAGACAGATATTACAAATGTGCATGGCATGCGTTTAATACAAGGCTATTCAGAATACTGTGGGTGGGAAATTCCTCACACTTTCAGAATACTAGAGGACGTTGGAGCCTCGTGAATGGCACACTCCAAACATGAGGTGGGATTCCTCCAAAAACAGACATGCAGCTACCCGAAACAGGGCGAAGGGAAAGAGCTGCAGACTGTCTGTCACACGAAAAATAGAAAATTAATTGTTTTTAATTGTTCAATAGTGAATGAATGCCAGCTCTGTACAAAAATAACGAAAGGAAATCACAAAGCCAGTTGTACTAGCTCTCTGAGTAACAGCAGAAGGCCGACTGTACAGGTTTAGGTATATTCTGTTTAATATGAACATTATCTATAGGATATTTGTGGCATACTAACTTGCAATACTCAGAGTACTTAAAACTCCAAATACTTGTACCACGTAAACATACTGAATCTCAATTAAACATGCTTTAATCCAAGGCAGATCCAATACATCTTCTGCACTGTTTCTAAAAATCCACACAGATCTTCCTCACTTGACTTGATAAGGGATGACAGCACTCATTATTTGTCAGGCCATATTTGATTTAAGTAACTTCTTCCCAAACTATTCCATGTCATTGTTCAAAGTAAACAAACCAGAGAGTAATCTTGCATTTGGATGCGATCTGCTCGAATACGTGCACACTGAGACTCGCTAATCTCTCACTCTGTTCCTGGTCTGTTACACAGGGAGAGTTTTCAAGAGGCTCTGTCACAAGGATCAACATGTGCCTGAGGCTGCGTAACTGGAACTGTGTTGTCCCTATAAGGTCATGTCCTACGAGAAAGAGACTATCACTTCCATCAGACAGGAAAAAATAATGTCTCTTGTACAGTATATCTCTGTCATCAAAGACTGCAGCAGACGGCTAAATGAAATTATCAGCAAATCAGGGGTGCTAAAAACAAAGTATGCATGTGCAAAAGGACTCAAATCAAATGTTTAGACACTTTTGGCAGAGAGATATGTAGCACTGGCTGAATCTGTTAAGAACCATGGGGAAAGCCCTCCAGGCTCCTTCTCAGAATGCTAACTTGCAAATTAAATTATTATTTAACATCAACTGCATTTTAAGAATTACTGCACGGCGTGTTTTTTTGCATCTCATTTTCAATCACATTGTCACAACGTGAAAATGGAGCGTGCCTTTCTCTAGACACTCTCTCAGATTTTGCATCAGTACTCTCTCTGCGTCTTAACCGTCTGGGGGGCAATCTGTTGCAACTTCACACCTTCCAGCTTGGCAAGAGGCTGCGGAGACCTGGCATTAAAACACTGTAATACCACCACCGCTGACACTTGATTTGGATTCAGGCTATCCAAATCAGGTTTTAAGAAAATGCTGGCACGCCAGCTGCCCTGTGTTTGCACATAGAAAGCCAAAGCATAAACAGAAGGACAACAATGTTCTTCTTACCTGCTCATGGTACTCAATGCCCATGCTCAACGTGTTGATCAGGATGGCGATCATAATCCCCCGGTTAAAATATTTGCTCTCCACTATCCACCTGAGTCGATCGCAGAACGCATCCCAGCACCGCCTGACGCGGTTTTTCTCCTTCGGTCTGCGCTGCCGGTGCGCGCGGCAGCCCAGGTGGTCCGCGCCGTGCCGCAGGTCCTGCGTGAACTCGTAAACCATGTTGGAGTCCGACTCTCCGCTCTCGGAGTCGCTGGGCTCCAGCTCGGGGTTCTCCAGGACCCTGGCGCAGTACGGGCACTTCGCCAGCTCACAGGACAGCTGGCCGGGCACGGTACCGGACACAGGGAAGGGAATGCTGAGGCCCGAGAGCCGGCTCGATCCCCGACACACCCCTGAAAAACACGGGAGAAACGGCACCGATGTGAGACATATTTGGGTTAACCTATTCAGTATCTTGTATGTGGTAATCTGTATAGCGCGAGTGAAGTTGTGTTTATTCTCTGACCCAGGGAAAAGTGTGTGGTGTGGGACGGTTGAGGAGAGAATGAAGGCTCGCTCTGCGTCTGTTATTCTTTTTCTTCTTTTTTTTTTTTTGGTCTGCCAGTTCTTTTTATCGATAAAGTTTGATAATGTGCCAGTGGAAGCTCTGTTTTCCTTCATATGGATGCCTAAAGCCCTAAACCGAACCTAGGACTTTACATACATTTGGTGGCAGCGGTGTAAACAAAAAAAAGAAGAAGAAAAGGAATAACGGACACAGAGCGAGCCTTCGCTCCCTCCTCAACCGTCCCACACCACACACTTTTCCCTGGGTCAGAGAATAAACACAACTTCACTACCGCATACGAGATACTGAATATGTTAACCTAATTACGTCTCACACCAGTTTACGGAGAAGGTCAGGAGAGGCCTCACTTCCATCCCCTCCATCCCTTGCTGGGTCTTTTCCAAGGCCTGCCTTCTGAAGACAGGGGAATCAATAAAGCAGACTGCATCATTGCTGTTGACGCGATTGTTGCGCCTCTCCACTTATTATATTTGATTTCACACCCAAGCCACGGCGAGTCAATTTGTGTAACACTGCGCGTTCTCCCTCATAATCTACTTTCCAAGCAGTGAGTGATATAACAAAGACCTTGTTTAGCATCTTGTAATGAGCTGAAGTCGAGGTGATTCAAACATTAGCAACACTCCACCGCTACCGCGGACTGCAAATGGGAACAACACTCTCAGTCTTTGTCTCCGCTTCAGAAATGACAGCAGCAGAACATGGGCTCAGGGTTTTCATAGCTTAAGCATTTATTTTAACGTTAATTAATCAGGAAACAAAACTGTAACAGATTTTTATGAGAGACACCTGACGGCGAGAATAGCTGTAAAATTATCTTTACTCAGTTTTCTTTTACTGTATTACTCCAAGTAAGACAAAGCTTGAAATACAGTATGGTGCTTGACTTCGTGTTTTTAATTTTTGTTTCATGATTTTGAAGCCCTTTCAGAGAGTAATATACCTTATACTATACATTTGTATAATTTTGCCAGATACACAGTTCTTTGATAAACCTCAAGTCTATAAGTGACAGACAAATTACATAAACATTAGATTGTACTGATAAAGTAAATGTCTTTGCATAGTTTTAAATATGCTTGGGTAGCCAAAGCAATCTAGAGAGTTGGCTGTCACTCCTTTTCTTCATTTGATCCAAGTCTTTTACATATTGTTAAGTACAGCCAGTTCTGTCTCCATCTGTAAAGAGTTCTTCTAAATCGCATTCATTTAAAAAATGATATTTTGTGTGGTACCCAACCAAACACTTTTTGGAACCAAGCCTACAGTCTCATATGTTCTATTCATTCTAAATCTTACTGGTTTAACCTTTGAGTCACTCAACAAGGGAAATAGAAAACAATCCTTATAGGAGCCTAGAGAAGCAGAAATAGCTGGAATTTAATTCAGACCACTGTAGATCCAGCTCTGGACATGATTAGAAGGGTGTTCAATTCTGACATTTTTCAGAATGGAGCCTTGTGTGTCTTGGTTCATGTAGGGATACGCAGTGCCTTGTAAGAACATTCATCCCCTCTGAGTGATATCCTATTTTAATTACAAAGGATGTGTATACTATTTTTTAAGTGAATATTTTCCAGAACGTAAAAGCTCAATCTCAACACCTTTATGGGGGGAAAAAAATGAAATGTCAGCGAAAACTAAAAAGAAAAATATCGATTGCATAAGCAAACACCCCCATGTGCCAATATTTGGTGGGAAAACCTTTGGCAGCAAGCAAGTCTTTTTGAATGAGTCTCAATCAGATTTGTACACTGGGATGATGGAATTTCTATCGATTCTTACCTGCAAGACTTGCTCAAACTCTGTCATGTTTGTTGGACAATAATTTTCAAGTCACACTTTTTCTATTGGGTTTCCATCACAACTATGACTCTTTATACTCTTGGATATTCACACTTTTCTTGTAAAGCCACTGTATTTTAGACGTGTGCTCTGGGTCACTGGCATGCTGAAAAGTGAATTTCTTACCCCAATTTTTAATTCTGTTGCAGAGTGAAGCAGGATTTTCTGTCTGTACTTTGGTCCACTCATTTACCACTCAGTTTTGACAAGCTTCCTAGTCTATGCTAATTAGAAGCAACCCATTAACATAGTGCTGTCACAACCATGTTTGACAGTAGGGATAGTGCTCAATGGGTGAAGCACTGGGTTTGCACCAGACATAACTCATTGCATTTAGACCATACTCTTTCAATGTTGTCACATTTGCAATATCACTTAATGCTCTGTTGCAAACCCCATGTGGGATTGGAGATGGATTTTCTCAGTAATAGCTTTCCTCAGCTTTGTGGAGCGATTGGGATTTTGTTTGCTTATAGACATGTTCTTCCATCCCAGCCAGAACTCAGAAGCTCTTTCAAGGCTGTTGATCTCATGGTGATTTCTCTACTTAGTTTATTCCTTGCCCAGGTGAAGGGACTTCTTAATAATAATCATGCTCAAGGTCTTTGAATTTTATTATACTGTACCATTTATCTGATCTGTGCTGTTCTACAAAATGTATCCTTGAGTTGTTTTGAAAGCTGCTTAGTCTTCATTGTATAATCTTTGCTTAAAATTCATTCTCTTACAGTGAACGTGAACCACTATTATTCCGCACAGAGGCCACTCAGCTGTGTGATTTGTCAAAATCACTTTGTGCACCTGAGCCAATTTAGGTTTGCCATAATGAAGGGGGTGATCATTTATGCAATCAATATATTTTAATTTTGGACTATTGTTCGCAGTCTTTGCTGACATATAACTTCTTACTGTTATTCAAGTTCTAAAAGTATTTTTAGATACTTTGCAAAAAAATGCAAATCCATCATTTATACTTCAATAAAAAGGAGCATTATTGGAAAGGTACTTTTGCACTTGTTTCATTACTTTATTTAAACTTGTTCCAGTGAGTCACTGTGCGTTGACTGCAAGGGAACAAGTAGAGGTGAAAGTGGAACTGCAGACCCAGACCGGTTATTGAATCTCAGTAACAAAATAAATTGACGGTATTGCAAAATTCTACAAATTCCGAAATTAAGCACAAAATCATAAGCTTTGTGAAAGTACTGTAGGTCGCCATGTTGCCAAGAGTTCACACGAATTGCAACGTGAAGCAGCCCTTCCTGCTCACTAGTCACTGTAACGACTAATGCAGAATGATGTACGAGCAAATAAGTTTAGGTTGTGCAGCAGACGTTTCACCACAGAAATGTTTCAACATGATCTGCATGCAGTTAACAAGTATTATTCTAATTATTCTTTTAACTTGGATTAAAAGAAATATTTTCACAAGCCTGCTTGTTTACAATTTAATGGGGCCACTACATGCCACCAGATTCTGAATTGCAGACAGTGACGGCAACATGGCGCCGCGCAAACCTGGAAATTCTATTTTGTGAGGTACACTGGAGGTTTTACACGTTTACTGTGCACGTTTTACTTTCGTTGTGGTTGGAACTGCACTCCTCGATGCCGAAATTCGTTCTAACCCCCCGAAATACAAAAACAGCCCCCTTTAAATCTATTCCAATAAGAAGAAACACAATTTCAGCTGTCGGTCCTGCAGCTCAGCTCGCACCCAGAGAAAGCTCAGCCGGCCCAGGCTATTGAGGATGGAATTAATCTGCATTCGTTCAATATATTTACAGCGGGGCTGAGCTGTGAGCTGGCGACACAGTGCCGTGAGGTACTGTTGCTCTTACCGTGCTCCCCGACAAGCTGGTGCAGCCTGCCGTAAGGGTCTGGGATGCTGAGGTTGCCTGAGCCCCTGTTCAGGCCCGCAGGGTTGCTGCCGTTTCTCTTGCCCTTGGGTTTTGGCGTGGCGCTGGCCCGGCTGCAGGCCGTGGAAGGGACGATGGTGGGGTAGTTCTTGCCCCCGTTCAGCCCGCCCACCGGCCGGACGTTGCCCGCCACGCTGGAAGACTTCCGCCTGGCCTGCGGCCCGTGAAAGTGGCAGTCTGCGTGGTAGATGCTGTGGACCGACTCCGTGCCCGCCGAGGGGCTCTGCAGGGCGGGCGAGGCCGGAGGAAGCATGAGCTGGGCCCCCGGCCCCACGGTCTTCATCTCCAGGACGTCGCAGATCTCGGAGGGAGCCCGGGTCCCGCGGGGGCTGCCGTTGCTGATGTGGTAGTGGTGGTGGTGGTGGTGGTGGTGGTGGTGGACCAGGTGGTGGATGGAGCGGATCCGGCGCCGGTTCCGCCGCCGCCGGCTGGGGGGGCCGCCACCCGCCCCGCAGCTGTTGGGGTTGACTTTCTTCCGCCTCTTGTTCTGCCAGCTGGCGTAGAGCCGGGCTGCCCGGCGCTTCACCTTGCGGTACAGGTGGCTGATGTACTTGAGCAGCTCCTCGTAGCAGCTGCCCGGCTCGGAGAAGCTGGCCAGGGTGCTGTCGTTGGACAGGTAGCGGGCGCGCTGCTCCTGCATCAGCTGGTTCTCCCGCTGCTTCGTCTCCGAGAACTGGGTTGCGATCACAACCAGGCACAAGTTAATCATGAAGAAGGAGCCCACCTGGGGAATCAGAAACAGCATTTAAAAAAAAAACACAAGCAAAAAGCCATTGGCATCTTAATAAACTTATGGTGGCCACAATGCTTGGCCATGCAGAGGTTATACTTCTAAAAGTTAAGTTTAGGATACGTGAAAACGGATGTAAGATTATGAATAATAGTCTTGTTTGTCCCTCTGCATGACTTTTCACTGTTGGTCTGATTTTAAGGCTTTACAAACATGGGGATTTCATCTTCTAAATTATAAGGCAGATCATGATTTAAAGATCATATAATATATACACTCTGTTGTTGTTCATTTAATGGCAAAGGGTGTAACTCGCATCTAATAAAGTCTTTTATATATGCAAGCCCAGGTTGGCACCCTTTTTAAAAAAAAATGAAGCCATACTTACTATGATAAGCAGTATAAAATATATAAAATTGTAAAAGGAATGTGCATCCATAACATAATACATGATGTCCACCCATCCTTCCAATGTTATCACCTGTAAAAGAAAAACAAATTTAAGAAGACAAGATGAGCAGACAGAGTCGGAGATCCAGAATCCAGCTGTCAGCTAGTCTTCACTAGAGTGAGCAACACTGTTTGTCTCTGCCACCTCCTGAAATTCAGCCAACACGCAAATTGAGGGTTTCAAAATAAGAGACCTATCAGTTTAAAAACAAAACATAAGCAAGCAAGAAAAAAATATTTTCATTGAAAGCAAAGGCTACACAAATGCCAACAGCTCTGAAGAACATAGGCGATTCATAAATCGAGAATCTTTCTGCCAGCAGCTGCAATCAGAAAAGCTGTCTCTCCCTGTGTCCCAGACAGCTGGAATTTCCGCCATCACATCCACATTCATCCGAAGAACTTTGCTCGTAAGAAAACCGTAGGGGCTCTTTTATGCAATTTTGATGTTTACAGGAACAGCAAATATAAAAGGAGAAACTTAAGAGTCTGACTCAAGCGTTTCAGCAGCTTCCCTATTTATGAATTTCAAAACATCCTTTGGAGTGCTGTCGAATGTTCAGTTTTGTATCCCAAGGAGGACGGATAAGCTGTCCCTCACACCAAAATCTTTTCATCTCAGCACAAGTGTTTTCTGCATGACTCTTAATTGCCTTTTTTCTTAAATCCTGGGCACTGAACCATTAAATGCACTCAGACACCACACGATGCTTTCGTACCGGATTGGATTTCATCATGATGTTTGTTCCATATGTTTTTGTCTGATGCTGAGACACCATATTCATTTATTAGATGTAATTGAAAAGGAAACATATTCCCTTCTTTATCATAGGGAAAATATGATTGATTTCACAGCAGGGCTTATGTAGTGTCTGGACTATTTCCGAGTAGTGGCTGGAAGATTCAATTACAATGACTGGCAGCTACTGTATGTCCGCGACACACCTTCATTTCCTCCTGAGCATTCATCAGGCTGGGGGTACTGTGACACATTCATCTCATAATCCGTCACACTGATAGGTTCCCTAAATCACTGTCTCGTGAGCTCCAAACACCCTCTCAAACACTATCCCATCACCCCAGATGAATACAGTGCCTTACAACCATTTCCTCTAACTGATACAGTTCAAAGATTGAGGTGAATAGAGGCAGAACACTGCAGCAGGTTAGTACACTTGCTATTGTAGTTTTAATGTCTGAAATGCATTAGTCTGATTGAAATATTTTTGCAGTTTCTACTCTAAATTGTGTGTTATGAAATATCACCACCAAAAAAGTACTGTGGTTTAAAATCGATATTCGAGTGCATTGTCCTTCAGTCTAATATAGAAGACTTTGCCGTTTCTTGGTTTTGTTTTTCATTGCTCATTGCTGGAATACATGCCGGATTGAAAAATCAATGTGGGAGCTCTGTGGTGGAACACAGTTAAGTGCTTCTTCGGATGATGTCATCAGTTCAATCAGGATTGCCTTAACCTAATCTAAAAGCCCTCCAATCTGATGAACGTGAAGACATCTCGCTATCCCACTTCGTTATCTCCACTTGCCCCATGTATATCACTTCTCATTTCATCAGTGCATTTAGAATTACCGCATAAAATGGAAACATTTTGCTCTAACATGTGAAAACAGTAGGGGTTTTCTGTTTTGCGGTAGGAGTGTATCTGTTAGGAGGTACATAAGACATCAGAGGGAGTGGAGAGTATTATTTCAGAGGATTTAAGTTTGTATTTGCAAATGAGTGGAAGGCAGGTTGTGGTCCAGGTGTTGCCAGAGATTGTCTCAGCCTGCTGTCACTTGCGGTGGGGAAAGCCTCAGTTCAACGCAGGGCTACACTTCACTTCCATCGCACTGCCGTTAATAAAAAACCCCAAGCAACCTGACTCCAGTCTTCCTCTTGGAGGGACTGCTGCTGCCACAGAGGAGGCATTACTGGATGTTGCTTCCCTGTCATTAATCCTCGAGACACAAGGAGATGACGCTGGGCTTCCCCGCACCATTATGCTGATAACTGTGACCTCGGAGGAGCATGAACTAATTTAGTGAGAGGGTAATTCAGCCTCATTGCTTATTCAATCCACTGCCCTTTAACGCGAAGCCTGCCTCAGGCCTGTGCTTGAAGTATGGCCGTACATATTAAATCATTTTGAACTGTGACAGGGGAAGGCTTCGTCTGTGGTGACTCAGACGTAATCTTGCACAAATGAACTGAAAAAGGGCAAGAAATGATAAACTTATTCATTTCAAATGCCTTCCATCTCATGGCTCATGAACCTAAGCTCTATAGCACACTTGGGAGCAGATGCAAATTGTCTTGAGCATTTGATACAGTTTCAGGACTAGCACAGACATGTGGTCTTTACTGATGGTGAGGCTAGCTCGGCTGATAACAGTAAGGGGTCTTGGAGTTCCTCAAGTGCTGGTTGAGCCAAATTGTTTAGACAGTGCTGATTCATGTCTGGGCTGTGAGTGTTAGCTGACTCCCCCTGGTGGCAGAAGTAGAAGACTGTTTGAGCACCGTCACAGTGGGTGGGGTTGAGCTGGCCTGTATACCCTCAGCTTGCAACACTTGCAGCCCTTTGATTTGCCAGCTGATTGGGAACTAGCAACTGCCTAGACTTGGACTACCCAAATTACAATTCTGCTGTAGACACTGGTGGGGCTGACAGTGTGAAAGATGCTGGGGAGCTCAAGGACTTATTAAAAGGGAAGCCCATGTGTGTTCATCTCCCTCTTGTGCTAGGGAAGAAGCTCACTGAAGTGGAGGCTGCAGGCTGGGCAGCATGAACACAAAAATATTTGGGGATTGGATGAAAAGGAGAAGATGAAACGAAGGATAGCAACACCGAAGAAGCAAGAATGACTACAGTCTGCTGCACGCAGGAATGTGTGCTAGAATTTCTTCTGCCGAGGACATCCCTGCCAAAAGGCTGTAAATCTAGCTGCCCCCGACCAGCACAAACACTCTCAATATCTTATTAACCAGCCCATCTGGGTCAGGAAGACTTTGAACAGTTTTACACAAGCAGAAGATCACCCTCTAGTCAACCCTGCTGCTGCGTATCAGGCCAGTTAAGAAGAAGACCCACCTGAAAAATGGCAATCCAGGCATATCCAATATTATCAAAATTAATAGCCCCTTTGTGCGGGTTCAGCTCTCCCGTCTTGCATACGTTATAATATTGGTTCCAGTTCACACAGCCATTCTTGTTGGCCGTGTCAAGGCTGTAGGGAGAATGGCTGTAGTTGTCCATGCTGAGGAAGCATTCCACTCCATTCTCCTTCAGGCGCGGGACATCGTGACACCTCAGCATGCCGTTGTCTCTGTTGGAGGAGCAGATGAAGGGGCTGTCCTCTCCTTCCTCATGTTTGTAATAGGAGCTCAGGAAAGACAGGTTGTAAACCCTGCAGAAGAGACACGCACATATGCTGGCGTCACTTGGAAGTCTGCATTGGAAAGAACTCTGGTCTGGAAAGAACATAAGAGGACTGTTTGCAAAGGCAAGGGTCGTTGAAGGCAACCGGAGGAGATGCAATGACGGCTTTTAATTTTCCAGATGCAAGACTGAATCAACGCAGTGTGATGGATTTGTGCTTCCAACGTTATGGGAATGAAGCCATCAGAGGCACTTCATCAGACCACGATTTTTTAAAATACAGAAACCCTCTTTTTCACCGAACAACCCAATCAACATGAACATTAATGTTTCATAAAACTGCTTTTGTGTATATACTGTATAATTCAATATAAAAGGCACTTTTGAGCAATCAAAACTGACAAATTGTCCCTTTCTACTTACTGAATGTACCAATTTCACAGAACAGTCAAGATTGACTGGTTATATTTGTCATGTAACAGAAATCGCTGCTTCTTTCGGAGTATAAGCAGTAGTTGCCGAAAAGAAAATGTGTTCCTTCAGCGAGTTAGACTGCATGACTCTCTCTGCAGTGAAAATGTAATCATTTCTTCTTCCTACACTTTATATTTGTGCTTAGAAAATAATAATGTGTTCCAAATAATAATATCTAAAGAGGCTTTCTGTATTGTTGTCCTTTTTACTAAAAATGCAGGAGAACATATCAGTTTGAAAAGGAATGCATACAAAAATCCATCGTCTGGACTTCCTGCAAATGCTTGTTGTTGTGAACAATAGATTACAATTTCTACAAAGTACTGGGTAGAAACCATTGAATAGAATCATAAAACTAAAAAATAGTTTGCTATTTCTTAGTTTTGGTACTGCATTTTAAAGCATTTCCGCAGGTTTGTGAATGTTTATTTGTCATGCTGACGATTGCTATAAAAAGGTTTACTAAAGGTGCAGTTTGAAGACACTCAAGGAAATTTGCCTTTGTCAGACAATTCTTCAAAGCATTTCTCATCAGGATGGTTTTTGCAAACTTTCCCAAAAGCTTCCTTTCCAAAAGTGTTTTTAGGGAGAAATTTAATATCTAAAAGGGACAATAAAGCAGATTGAGAAAGTCAGCATTTAACTGACTTATATCACATTACTAAGAAAATCAAAGACTATTTTTCAGACTATTACAGTTCACAGATATGATGTGGTTACCTTCATGTAAACCATGTTAGGCTCACTAAGCCGTCACAATAAAACTTGCCATTTGCACATTGACAATTGTAATACCACACCACAAAACAAACTACACGATTCTGGACTGCTGTAACTCCTAGATGCAGTGCCTCACTTTTTACTTTGTAGCAGTAACCCACACATTACACCCTATTGCACAAGCTGCTACACATTAAAAAATAAAATGAATGTTATTGTGTGAGGTGATCATGCACTGACAGACGTATGTTTAGACAAACAAAAAAGAAAGAAGCAAGTTGAAATAGAAATACAATAGAAGAGGCAAGGTACAGTACCTAGAGGGATGAGAAAATAATTATAATAAACAACCGAAATCTCCTAACAGAATGATCCTTTATCACATGGTAACCATCATTTACACAAAACACATGTTGACACACTGTACAGTTTACTTAATACCTGTATGGCAAATAGTCACTTTGAAGCATGGGAGATCTATTACTCTGTCGTAGCTGACATGTCACAAGATGCCAATGTTCAATACAATATGTTTTGCAGGGTCTTTAACACTGGCTGCCAGTATTGATAATCCTGGTTGTTCTCGGAAAGCTGTTGCTATCAGATGCTGTCGATCAGCCTCTGACACCACTGTCACAAAGCATTGCAAACGTTTCAGGACATTTTGTCTGATCTTAAGAAAGTGTTTTCTGGCTTGCATGATGCAGATCTTTACAGGTATAGAATATTTATAATTTATAGGACCAATACCTTTTTTTCACTGCCTCTGGCGCTGATTATTCGCAATCAACATGTTAAACCTCAAGTGACTGCGTGAGTGAAGTTCTCTAAATAAGGACACATTCATACTGCACTTCCTCATGAATTAAAGGGAATAACTGCTCGACACCTGTACATTAAGACAATGGAAAAGCCCCTAAACCAGTTTCAGGGATTTTAGATATCAATCTTCATCGATCTTGCAAGTCTTTCATCCTTTGAGACGGCTTTGGTGACACTTTGACGTTTTAGGAAGAGGTGAAAATAACCCTCCTATCTGGACTTCTACTCAATCAGATGGGATTTCCAAGGTGTTGATTTCTTTTCAGAAAAACCTACAAGGAGCCAGTCTAACACACTACACCTAGACAGAGCATATTTAGCATGACACTTAAGCAGGAGTAACAGCCCTATCTCATGCAGAGCACTCTGTGTATGTGATTGCAGTTGTAACCAGAAATTGCTCCCACTCCAACCATTTTCCCTTACTTTTTAACAACTCTATATTTAAAAAAAAAATGTTTCTGCTGTTTAAATACTCAGAAAACACTTTATCCACAAGCCATATAGAGAATTAATGCTTCAATACTGGAACACAGTAGATGCTATTACTTGTAAATGTCTACCACAGGCCTTATGAGTGAAACATATGGGGCGCGTCTGAGCTCTCCATTACCGGTTACAAATACCTAGTGTACAGTAAGTGTTTGTAATAATGAAGGTGACAAGATCCACATATAAGTGAACGAGCTTTTATCATGCCAGGAATGGGACAAATATTCATAACAACCAGGACATACTGGCAACTGCTAGACTGGATGATCTTACACCACACTGTCTCCTTCTCCCCAGTCTCAACCAGAAAAGGAAGTAACACCAACAATGTTACTTGACAATAGAAGGACACTGTACCACACAAAGCTAGTGTGTAAATTAAAGTGAACATACACACAAACTCAGCTTTACTCCCTTGACTAGCTAGACCTTATACAGAGGATGCAAAGGAACAGGCAGATGTTTGCTCCATGCTGAAAGGAAAAGAACAGTGACACAATGTTTCGGCTGTGCAACCTTCCCCTATTCCTTTACCTCTTTACCTGTTCTTTTGCAGCCTAAGCATGCGGACACAGCTCCCTACTTGAACTTCTTATACAGCGGTTGTCAATCATTTGTCAAGTGTCACTCATCGTCAACTAACACATGAGTGACAGGCTACTCCTAATATAAAGTGATTTCGAAAGCACTTTTTTGTTAAATGTCATGTCTGAGATGTGTTTCTCTAGTGAGGCAGCAGGACATGCTCAGGGCCTGAGGGCCTCACATACTAGAGTGCCATCCTAACAGGCCGAGGTGCTGAGCTTAGAAAACCATTGGCATCCCAAGTGTCAGTCCTGCCAGCAGTGGTCACCTGCCACCTTGGATAAAATCTTCATGCTCCAACGGCCCCAGAGAGATCACAGCTTAGGGGAAAAAGAGGAGCAAGGACTTACGTTTTGAAACTGTCTTCTAAGAAACACCTGTTTCTCAGCAGGCCGGCCCACAGCTGTACGCCAACAATTCCAAATATAAAGAAGACGAAAAAACAAAGCAAAAGGACATTGCCTAACATAGGCAGAGTATCTAAAAGCAGAGTCACCAGTATTCTCATACCTGAAAAGAGAAACAAAAGAAAAACACGCATTCAAGAACAGATCTTAAACGTGAGGCTGTAATATTCACAGAGATATTAAAATCACACGTTTGTATCGAGAAGATAAATCTGTAACGTATGGAGATAAAATAAGAACAGATGTAATCTCTCTGTTTACTGCAGACGCGCCACAGGAGTTCAGCCTTCATTAAATCATGCCTGTGCCATTAGCATTATCGTTAGATATATGTTAAGGCTTTGTTTTCACCATGTGGTAGCCTCGGGGTTCTGGAATCGTTTAATTGAGAGGAAGACAAACATCAGGTAAGCTCTTTTGTGTGTTTTTTGGTTCCAAAAATATCACTTGGAAATATAGAAAAAAAACTGAACATCCACGTCCATTTTTGAAGTCTGCCTACATCTAGTAAAGCTTGAAACAGCAAATAAAACATGGCAATAGTTTTTAGCAAAACAGATTGCATGAAAGCCTATCTTATCACAACTCTAACTGGCTGCAACTGAAATTCAAAAACACTGCGTCGTTAAACGGGATTGCTGTTAATTCAGGATACAGGCAACTGGGTACTGATAACACCTTAACACCTACGAACTGAAACTCTCCGTTTTCTGTCTTAAAGCAAAGTTAGAAGACAGCTATCGTCTCTAAGAGCAATGCACAATGAACAGTCCCTCAACATCTTACAAAAGCTGGCATTAGTTTCAGCAAGCTGGGGTAGATCACGAGTTTCTGGCATGCATCACAAACTGCAGCTTAGTTTTAAATCTGCATTCATCTGTTGTGTGTGAGGTTTGCTGTTCACTCTCCTGCTCTACAGAATTCTAAAATGAATATGGGTAGCACTAGGGTAAGCCTCCTTGATTTTAAAAGTGACCCAGGGTTTGAAATTCTTACCTGGTGACAAATATTTTTAGGAGTCTTACAAGTATGTGGATGAAAATGTTACTCTCCTGTCCTGTAGATACATTATTAAGGTCAAGAAAATTCAAATTTTGTTTCAGGTAAAACATCTAGCAATAACTGACTTGTCCATAACAGAGATATACAGTATACATTATATATAAAACAATTCAATAAACGTGGAACCCCACCATAATCCAAAGACAAAGGAGGAAATAAATCATATCCAATTTTAATGTGTTTCTTTCATAATGGTTTTTGTAGTATGTTTAGATTCTAGTAAAACCTAGATATGGATGCTTGCTTGAAAATAAATGGATTACATTTCTCTACCAAGGGTCTGTAGCAAAGCAATTTAACTCAATGAGATGATCAATTATGACTCATTGCATGAGAAATTCTTTACAGGAAAAACCATAATGAAATGTCAATTATATTCATGAGAAAACGTATGGTTTCATACAGCAAGAGTTCTGAATGAAAAGGCAGAAACAGAAAACAGTAGGCCATCAAATTCTGATCATAGCAAAACAGGAAGGAAATGTACTCTCTCTCTCCAAGTACTCTGTAAAGCTCCTGGCACAAAACATTTATTGCAAGATAATGAAATGATTCAAACAGAGAAGCTATTTGAAAGATACTTCTTAATTGTTTTTGTAATAAAACAAACTGCTGGAAAAAGTAAAGATTTAAAATACCACTGCTGTATGCTGGTCTCTCTATAAAAAAAAACCCAGAACAGATACAATATTAAGATGCAATGTGTTAATGACACAATGCTGTTTTGGGGGATAATTTTTTTTACTGTAAACTATAGTAAAAGAATGAGGTGCAAGATTTTAACAAGGCGTTTAAGTGTTCACAGTGAAAGTTAATTAGGTCATGTAGCTGGTGGGTTCTGTAAAAGTATACACTGTAACTAGGGGTGGGGAACTGTGGCTCAGTGGAATTAGGAGAGAGTGGAGTTCTGCTGTAGGACTCATCTTCGATTCAAAGCTTATGAAAAGGGTGGGGGAGGGGAGCACTGATTTTGAAAGTAACTCTCCTGGTATATGAAAAGCCATCCTTTCAGAGCACTTCAAAATGCAAAGATAACCTGCTTTACAAAAAAAAGACCCCCACCTCCCCCCTTCTGTATCACAAACCATAGAACGCATCAGCTGTGACACAGCAGGGACAGAGTTATAGTGTACGTGAGCCAGTGAGCAGCCTTATAATAAAGACCAAATCCCAGGACTGCCTGTGATCCCTGCTGTCCCTTCTGGAAATCAATTGAACAATCAACCGGATCCAGCAAAGTGCTGATTTGCTAAAAAGCTGTGGGCAGATTTCTGAGGGTTTTTTTTTGGGTGCAACCCTCATCCTCACAAGGGTAAATACAACCTAATTTCCACACGACATTCCTCTTGAGTATAATCTTTAAATGCCTCTTGGGCTGACACTCATCTTGGCCCTTTTCATGCACTCATTATTGCTGCTAGGCTTTACAATCTAAACCACAAAAGGTCACACCTGAACCAGAACAATGAATTTTGAGCCTCTCTGTTACAACAGCTGGAGGGACCACCAACTGAGCGAGATCACCTGCGTACCTGAAGGTGTCACTGCACCTGAAATGGAGTGCGTGGAGCACCCAGAGAAATTTTGCCATTTGCTTTGCTTTGTACTGCGAGATGCAACGCATTTGTGGGTTGGCTCCTCGTGGAGGAGAAGCTCAAGAAACAAGTTAAAAAAATATATATTTTTGTATTCTTCAGGAGCTTAAAAAAACAGTTGTATGTCCCTGTGCTCTTTAGAGACCTTCTTAATAAAAACAGTAATCAGAGAGCCAGCTGAGTGTAAGGCTGAGGTACAGGGACTAAAGGAACCCATAGCTTATTCTCCAACTCTGTACCACTTTTCTTAAGGGGACTGGATGTCTCATATTTGTTCTATTTTAGTATCGGGAGCACAGGTTGATTAATTATGTTAATGTAGCGTTTAACATTCCAGAGGCTTCCCAAAATAGGAGGGAATGCCAACAGCACTGAAGTTCACCAGCCACCTGAATGACCTATGACACCATCATGCTCCAGAAGTCATCCTAGGTAGGATACAAAAGAATTAAAGGAGCCCAAGTCCATGGGGTTAATATTTGGTCAGCCACCCAGTAAAGGTAACATGTACAAATTCGAACCCTGGTTGTTTTTGGGGTCGGTTGCACTCTTTAGCAAGGCTGGATCCCAAAAGCACGGCAGTGATATCCATCTGTTTTCCGATTGCTTCTTCCAATTCGGGGTCTTAGGCCAAAGCAGTGATTTAGTGCCCCACAATTTCTATGTCATGCACTCCCCTCATTCCACAGAATTACATCAACAAATCCCATGAAAAGAAATAGTCATAACTCTAAATAATCTGCAATCAAATTCCATCTTAAAACAAAAGGAAGCTTAAACGTTTTACATTGACAAGCCTAAGGCGCAGGTAACTGAAGAGGTTTTAATCTTGTCGTTCACCACTACTTGAGATCCACTTGTCAAAACAAATAACAACAGAGGGTGATATCAGCACAAAGCAAATGCCACAGGGAGATTTAATGTTTTTTTCTTCCTTACAGTACAATACCCCTCAGTTAGACAGACTAATCAGAAACAGCTCCAACTTTAAGACTGTCACTGCCTGCCTCAGAGTGTGCTGACAGGGTTAGCAGTTTGCTTTTGTGGATGTGAGTGTGATAGTTCTAACCTTGTCGGAAATCATACCCTCATTCCGCATGCTGATTAGTATTGATCAGTCCTCCACAGAATCTCACAGGAGCACTCTGTCAAATGTCTTTATGTCTTTATGTCTATAAAGTAATAGCACATGCTAGAGACTATGCGAACATGCTTTAATCTATTTTATGTCCCATATTATATTGAGCAAAGAAAAGTTATGTGCAGTTGTCAGTTCATTGGGCTTTTAAGGCATTTATGAGTTGAATTCAAGACCTTTCTGTATTTCCAGAAAGAAAAATCACCAGAGCATCTAAATGAAGAAGAAAACTTCATCCAGCATCCGTTCAAAAGCGTTTTGACATTTGAAAAAGTGACTTTGTTACATCTAGATATTGTCACTGCCTTCAGATACTGTCTTTTCTCTTCTATGTGCTCTTCCTCAGCTGTGATTTCAATAAACGAATTTGCTGTGGAAAGAGGATAAGGTTTCTTTGCCAAATGTATTTCTAAATTAAATAATCTGCAAGCTGTAATGGAGGTCTGTGGCCACACTGACCTCTATGCGGCATAAAAAATGATATCAGATCATCACCTGAACGCAGGCAATATTTCACAGGTACGGTGCAATTAGGTCATTGCCAAGTGTTGGTCTTTCTGTTATGTCTGTTATGTCTCAGATCTTCAGCCCAAACCGGTAGAGTAAAGACAGATAAAGAAGTGCAGGTGTTTACATTTAGGGTAAATTTAACATAATGGCCTAATTGGCATGATGTTAAAACAAGATTTTTAAAAAGGCTGATTTTTATTAATCATATTAATAAACATGTAAACAATGAAATAGCATAGTCCAAGGGTTAATAGGTAATTAGGAGCTGAAAAATCAACAACTGACTAAATGGCATAGTTGCTGGATAAAAAAGAAAATGATTGACAATCCAAAAGGCAATGGCACTTTTTTCTTCAGGCACCTCATAAACATTCTGTAAGTCCTTCCATAGGGGATGTTCTGCTGAAAGGTGGAGGGAGCCCAGCTTTGGAATAAGTTTGCATGATGGCCAATTATAGTTTCCTGGGTGTCCTTGTTCTCAGCAATGACTAGGGCAGCCAGCAGAAATGACAGATAACAAAGTAACATGAGCTTAGTCAGACCATGGCTGTGCGATACAGACGAGAGGTAAGCCCCTATCAGGCAGGGCTAAAACGGTTGGCACAGTAGGCAGGTAATTAATTTATCAAAGCCATCTTGGCTCATCGGGCCAGAGCCTATCCTGGTTTCTGAGGTGTGAGACAGTGAGCAGACAGCACACGACTTCCCCCAAGAGTGGAGTCTGGTCCATTTCAGAGATTCCCCCAACAAGGCTTATACAGTTGGGTGCACTGGAGCCACTGAGGGTTAATTAAGGCACAGCAGTAGGGTCTGCAGTGGAGAGGGTATTCGAATCCACCAGTCATGGTTTGAATCCACTACACTATACTGCCTCAAAATGGTTATACTGATTATGTTTACTATAATGTAAAATGCTTTTCAACACCGTTCTAGATAAACAGAATGACACTCATGATTTCAACTTTCTTGCATTATATACATGTGGACTATCTGACACCATTATCCCATATACTTCCCTCTTGTCATACAAGAGGCTGCTGAATGTTGCAGATTTCCACAAGAGAATGGATGAAGACACAGTGTTTTCATTACTGGCATGGAATAATTGTGGAGCAAGGTTCTTCTGCGTGGAAGGTTCTCATACACGGGGCAAAATCGCAAAATCGGTCTCTGTTCATTCCAGCTAGCGCACAGAGACGAAGTCTGAGGGCTTTGGGAGAGTGAAGACAGCTACTGGGCGAGTTAGCTGCTGCAGTTTTGGAAGAACAGAGACTTTGTGGAGATTATGAGGCCCTTCGCAAGGAGCAGGATTCAGCATGTCACGTGTTGCCTACTGTCGGACTGGCCGAGCGGGAGGCTGCAGAGAGATGTAAATGGGGAAGTTCTGTCCTGCCACTGCCCTCTCCAATTATCACCATTATTCCAAAATCTTCTGCTACTACCAGGGAAACAGCAGAATGGATATGGGAGGCTAAGCTCTGGAGGACCTGACAATGAATCAGCAGAAAACCCCAGCTACCTTCCCTGACATGACGAGTGCCTTTAGTGTGAAACACAAATTATATCTCCTGTAGGTTTCGAGCGAATTCGGTGTTGCGTTTTCTATTGCTTACTGTAAGACTTGGCTGTTATACTTTTTCCCTCTATTGTTATTAGAATTCTAGAGACTGAATAAACAACTCCACAGGCCAGATCGCTCACTAGAGCTTGTTTTTGGCATTGTTTTTTCTCTGTGACTCAACAGTTTTTTTTTAAATTAAAACAACTGCTTGCATGAGATCTTGAGATGTGATATTTGAGAGACAAACACTGCAAAAGTACAGTATATTACTACATACTATAAACTACTGTATTAGGTTATTCGGATTCACATAGTGTGGAACTTTTAGGGTGCAGTTCTTTTTAGATTTCCACCTAGCATACATCTTCAGAATTCCAACAGATCTTTGGCTCATTGGAGGACATACAAAATTCCAGCATAGGGCTGTAAGTCAAGTCATTAGATGGTTTTAAAATAAAGGAAACCCTGTCATGTTCTTTAGTTACTAACACATATTAGATGAGAGATCTGAGGGTGTACTGTACCTCTGTAAGTCCTTAACATTTATATTATCATCAACATTTATAGCATTTACCATTTATAACATCAAGGCTTGATACCTTACAGCTGTCTGCTCTGTGTGCTTTCTAACACTCTTCTCTGTAAGTTGCTATATGTCCAAAACTCTGTAGCTAGACTCTTAACTCACACCAGACCTTGACAGCTTATCAATAAGCTCCACAGCAAGTCTCCACATTGGTTCCCTATAAAGTAACGTGTTCAAAGCAAGACCTTGTTACTGACATTTGAGGCTTAAAATAATCTGGCTCCATGATACATCTCTGAACTCCTCCATGTTTACAGTTGCTCCTGTAAGTTCAATTCTGTTGAGGCTGGTCCTCTGCTCAACTGCACCTCAGGGTAAATCTCTGATTTTTGGTGAGTGTGCCTTTTCTGTAGCTGCCCCTTTGTTACAGAATATCCTTCCTCTGACTCTCTGGGAGACGAATTCTTTGACTGTCTTCAAATCTCAACTCAAACCCCACCTTTTTTACTTGGGCTTACTGCATGTCTGATTGTCCTACATTCTATCTTGTGTATATCTTGTTGTTGTTTTTTCCTTTACACTTTTAATTGTACTTCATCACTATGTAAAACATCCTTGGGTTTTGGAAAGGCACTTGCGAACGATGCTGTCCACAAACACATTTCCCCCTTCTCTTACTCAGGCTGCTCGAGATGCAGAGGAGTGGAGAGCAGGTTGTGAAGAGTTCACCAAGCCCTGGGTGCAATATTCCTGACTGACACCTTTAGGCTAGGCACCGCGGCTCGAATTAATTGATGCAGGAGCGACCACGTAACATGCCCAACACGGGGACAGCACAGCTGAATATTAATGTTCCCCCCAGCAGCAAATGGCAAGCAGCAGGCGAAAAGCATGGCCCAAAAAAGTAAAATCCCACAGCAGCTTAGAAGAGTCAATTCACTTCCGCCTGGCTTGTCACATCACATGATAGGAAAGGATTAATGATCCAAATAAAAAAACTCTGAAACAAAGAAGTCAGCTGGCAGGAATAGGTGTCGCCTTCATTACATGAGACCCCAAAACGTTTTTGGAAAAGTGAAATTGAACACACTCCATACAACATCATAGACAGCTCATAAAGAAGATAATGGACGGTGATACATTACTCACATTACATTATTGTCACAGATCTTGGCAAGTGAATAATTCATACCCACGGATCCGTTTTCTCTAAAGAGCTCGCTTTATTGCATCAACCTACCAATGGTTTACGTGAATTGGAGCTGAAGGCTTTACTTTATAAATCCAATAATGTCTTTGCATGTAAATTATAGAAGTGGGACTAAAACCGACGCTATGAAGGAAGACAAAACTTCAGTGCTGCCGCTGAACCAAATCAACTTCAAAAGAAGCCCCAGCGACATTTCAGCGAAGAGCTGCCTCTCTGGGAATGAGCACAGCAGCCATTCTGTGATGGCACACTCCACAGAGCAAGATGAAATGGTCTCTCCAGAGCAGATTAAAGGTCAAGGACTTTTCTCTCTTCTAAACACAATGCCATAGTTCCTGTTTAGATTTTGATTTTAGCTGTTCAGAAGTTTCACAGTGGGGACTTATGCTGCTTCCAAACAGCAGGTTAAAAAGAAAACTGTGCAAAGATTCATTTAAAAGAAACCCGCTGCGTCTTCATCATGTCACCAAAGACCCAGCTATGCAAACTCTAAACGCATGGGTTCAGAAATCAGCCTTATAAGAGCACATTCCTTACACATCGGGCTGTTGCCAAGCTCTATCATGTAACCCTTTGGAATTTCTTTGGCTTGAAGTCCCTGGCTTGGTTTCATCAATATAACAGGCAGGAAGGATAAACCAACTATGGGACTCTTTATGCACTCTCTTCGAGCAACAACAACATGACTCAGGTTTTTAAAATGCACACTTCTTCGAGACATGCTAAAGTATTTTTAGATTGCACCATTTCGAATAACAGAAGGGCAAAACGGTTTAACAATTCTGTTTCTGTGTAGATCTGTGCTGTGCATGAGAGAAAATATAATAATAATAATATACAATATAATATATTTAGCAAGTGTGTGTATATGTATGTCAAGAGTACATCCACTTTTTCTTGTTTCCTTTCCAAAAGCATGTGTTTCCGAATAAAAGGCTTGAGCAGAAAAGGCACTTACTGGGAACTCTGTTAATGGCTCTGAGTGGCCTGAGCACACGCACAGTGCGGATGGCAGACAGGCTGACATTGTGGCCATCCAAAGAGTACTCCATCATCCTGCACAGAAACAGCAAGGAGGAACATCACTGGATCAGCACTTAGACTGTATATCAGGGACAGCTGCGGAACACTGGCAGAAAAGGTTATATTGCTCAATTTCCTGGCAGTTCTTCAGGAAGACTATTTTTTATGTGTGTGACAAATGGTATATTGCTGTATATACTGTATGCTGATTTGTAGAGTATACTTCACCAACTCTGAAAAAAATAGCTGCATTGTATACGTATCTGATAAATATTAATGGAATCCCATATTTCCATTCCTAAACATTTAATGTATTCTGGAAAGGCATGCGCATGTGGCAGTCGTCTCAGATCGGGTCTTTTATAAACACCTAGGTCCTGATTTTCTACCAGTGGAAAATTGATTAACTGATGAGTAAGGGTTCACTGAAATCCCCTAATAAGAAATTGGCAGGCAGAAGACAAAAACAGTCAAATCCGTGGGCATATTTTTAGAATATAAATTATTTTTTTGGTCTAGGGGTTTGTAAAACTGCACAGACGTGGTGCTACTCTTTTGAATGCCTCTGAATAACTTTGAAAAATAAGGCCCAAAGTTATAATGAATGATAAGCCTTCATAATATGCATCAGTAATTCAAAATGTAACACAATTTCCTATTGAGCCAATACTGCATGCAGATGGAGAAAGTGTTCGACATGTGCTTCCCTTATTACTGAACGCAAAATTACCAGGAACAGCTGCTGCTTTTGATGTGAGACAGGTAAAATTAATCAGGAAGCAGAATTAGGAGAGAACAAGCAGGCAGCGAGAATTGTCTTGGACTTTAAAAGTGTCGTGCAGGCAAGAGCTCAGAACCCATGGGGATTCCTGAGCGGCAGAGTGAGGTGTTGACTTGACATTAGTGGTGACATTAAACACAGCCTTCCCAGCCTTCTCTTCCCTTGCTTTTAACACTGAGGGGGACCAGGACTCCTAGGCCAGTAGAACATTTTTCTCCCTCTCAGTCCAGTGGGGACTGCTGGTCTTTAAAGTGCTTTGCAACGAGACTACTAATTGTTTCCCTCTCTTTTTCTTTGAGTATTTTGGTTTGATTCTTTTCTTCCCCGATGCGTGTTCCTCTGCGTGCACCGTATACATCCAACAAGCGGAATGCATAATTATTGAGCGCTCAGCTGTGATGAAACGGATTCATGAATAACTGAGACGGATAACGACGTTTACCTAACATTTTCACAGACAACTTCAGCCCTGCTCAGCTCATTAGCAAGTGCTGAGCTCTCTGCGTCACAACTTCTACATTTCCTCCGGAGGCGACAACACATTAGAAGAGACAGGCTCTCCGGCCAAATTCTCTTAAGGATAAGCTTATGTAATATTTGCAAACTATGCCACATGTAAATGCCAGAGCACACATTGGCAGCACTTTCCAATATTCAGGGCCATTCTACTGTTGGGATTTTCCCCTGAAATGCAGGAGAGACAGGCGTTCTGCATTGTTATTCTTCTTATGGACCACTCACCCTGCCATAACGATGAAGAAATCGAGACGATTCCACGTATCGCCCAGGTAACACTTCTGCCCAAATATCCCTAGAGCCAACATCTTGATGACCATCTCCACGGCGAAGAAGGCAAAAATAAAGTCATCAAACGCCTGCAAAGAAAAACAATGAGTTGGACCATCAGCAGTGTCTGACATTACGATTCCTTCCAAAACAGTTCATTTTTGAGGGTTCTGTGCCACAAAGTCAACAGATCGAGATTTTTAATGGTAAGTCTTGGCAGGGCTTCTGGAAATAGGGAGGAGGATGGTAAAATAACTTTGAATAAAATAATAATGAGGTAATCGTAATGCTAGAGAATCACTAGGAATAGGAAAACAAGACTTTATTGGAACACTATAAATTACAGATGAGCAAACTCCAGTCACTGTCACCCCTCACTGCTTAGGGAAGACTGTGCAAATGTTCAAATGTGGTATAACAAGTTGCACTATATGAACAAATGAGCTACAAGTAACCAAGTGTGCAAGATCAACAGAAGTGCCTCTTCGTAAACAGTGTTTCTTGTACTGTTTTGTTGACAGAAACTGGGAAACTACAGGCTGACCTTTTTATGAGGGATAGAATTTAAAGATCCTGTTATCAACAACCTCAGCTACCTCCCTTTAAGTACTAAATGCAGAGAAGATACTACTTTATATGCACATGTTAACAACCACCAAGAACCAGATAAACAAAGTCCTCTTCCTGGACACAGGAGTGGAGCAGTTAGAATGTCCAGCCCACTCCTGCTGCCCTACAGCTGCCTGCACTGCGATGGCACTGGATGGCATCCTGGCTCCAGCCCAAATCTCAAGACTTTCCCACAGTCACAGTAACCAGCCCGAAACGAGAATACAGGGAGAAGGGACGGGTCACCAACCGATATATCTGCAGGGTGGAATCAGTCTTTCTTTTGCCTGGGAATTTGTCACCGTAAGATGTCACCAGAGCTTGACATGTGCCAGAGCTGCAGAGGAAGCTCCCTAATTCGGTGAAAATGTCGCCCGAGGAATAGTTAAAACCACTATTTAACAGAATGCGCGTACTGTACGTCTGAACAGAACAGTGGGTCTAGGACAGAGCTTGAAGTGGTCCAGTACTGTCCGGTACATAACGCCAACACTTGGAAATTTGGGATTTTTGCATTCTGACACTTCATGTTGAGTCCCAGAATTTTTTAATGATTCAAGGAACTAAATCCACTCCCTACTACCTGTTTGCAAACTGTAATGCTAGATTCAAAACACCTTTGCTTATAGTCCGCCAAACAGGACACTGCAATGTGGATGAAGTTTTCATCCTGTATGTTAATTTTTTGAATAAATATAATAAAAAAAACCATTCCTGAGCTCTTTTGTTTTTTCCAGAATTCATATGGAGAACTCCAAGATGAAGTGAGGCAAATTTCTATCTTTGCACCAAAGACAGGGCTTTTTTTTCTTGTGCTATTCTTCCCAAAAGCTAAACTAAATAAACTGGACTTTTTCCATCAGATATTTTCCTCTACGGGTTTATTTTTTTTAGCTGGTGTGGCTCAAACTGTTAGGCACAGTACACATAGAAAATGGTTTCAAGAAGGATCACGTGCTTCAGCTAAAGCAAAGACTCAATTAACTATACAGTAGGTCTATACTTTTAAGGCTGTAAAGCTTTGCTAAAGATGTGACAAGAGAGGTATTTTCTTGTACGAAGCAACCTACAAAACGTGAGAACCTGCTGCCCCACTGTCCAGTAGAAGATATGGAGAGTACTTCTCCGTCTGCACTCACCTGCAGGATGGTACACCAGTCAGACTGACACTTGAGGTCCTCACAGGGCTGGTACATCCCCAGGGTCACGCAGTTCAGGAGGATGACCAGCATGCTGACATGTTCGAACCAGGTGCAACAGGAGTCAAGGAAGGGGCTTCCATTAGACACAACAGTGGCAGTTAGCACAGGAAAGTAACAAACCGGCAGTACATTAAACTCTTGGACGGAAAAAAAAAACAAGAGTTGCTGTTTTCCTAAGTCGGCTTGCTCCCTTATGAATTCCTGTTAATTGCAGTACGTGGTGGAAGGGGGGGCATCTAGCCTGAATTTTCGACATCTTCGAGAAGGGAGATCAATTTAGCAATGAAAAACTGCATGCCAATGAGCTCGGAAACCTTTTTTGTTCCCAGTGCATTAAAGCTGTGGGTGCTAATGAACTTTTATTTGCTGAATTGCAAATGAATTTATCCTTTTTAAATAATAATAATCTTAATGATAATGTTCCTAAGAAGGGATCATTAAATGCTGGAAAGCAATGGTGCGTTTCCATAGAAAAAGCCCAAAACACATGGTCTCCCACATGCATCTGCCTTGGGGTTTGGATTTGGCGAGGAGCTGCTGTGTCCAGGAGGAGCAGCAGCAGCAGTGCTCTGGACTGCGATCCTGAGAGAGGGGAAACCTGGAGGATGAAGGACACGAAGGACATTAGGGGGGGCGGAGTGGTAGCACTGTCCTAGAACTGTTCACTGCAGCCCAAAATATCCCAAACAGGACTGCAGCCCAAATAAAACAAAAGGAAAAAAAACCCAGCATTTTCACTGCTTTCTTAGTGTACTAATCAATTTCAACCCCTTTTAAAGATTCTCATGCTATACCTGTAGGCAAAACACTCACATACTGTAGCAGCGGCGTGTCAGTTCCTAACAGGATTTCTTCTACCCAAAGATTTATCTCTTGTGTTCATAAATGCATATTATATGGAAAATCAGAGAGGTACAGTATGTCTATCCCACTTTAATCCCATTCTTTGTTTTCCTTACCAAATGAGCAAACTCCTTCAGACCAGGAAACAAGAGATTTTGGTTTGGTGGTTTGTCCCCGTGCTTGGAAAAGACATCTTATTGTAGTGAGCTCAGTACACTAAGTACTCTGATGAAAGAGGCTGTAACTCGTGGGCACTCCCACTGTAACATAAGCAGTATCAAAATGCTTTCGAATGTAACCTTGATTATCACTGCATGCGTACAAAGGGAGGTCTGCTTAAGACGTCATATTCAGGGGAATTCTTAACATCAGAACAAAACTGTCAAGGCATCACAGGAAATGGGGAGTTAATGAAGTGGTGTTTAATTAGGAATGTTAATACGACTAATAGAGTTAGTTCAGGCACAGTTTAATAACAGCTCATCATTCACATGGGAGACTATTTAAAGAGTGACATGTACCCAAAGTCATGTGGCCATTTGTTGTAAACAAGAATTCTACACCCGCTGGCCTGCTTTCCAAAACGCCCGGCCACTGACAGAGAAAACTGCGTGATACCAAGATTTGAAAAAAAAAAGGCGTTCAACTTTTTTTTCTCTGTGTGTGTGTGTGTGTGTGTGTGTGTGTGTGTAATCCCAACTGTCCTCAGCACTTTATTTTGAATTGGGCCTTTGTGACAAAAAAAGTGCTGAGGACAAGGCAAGTTCCTGAGGCGGTGAAACATTCAGATATAACAGTCGCTGGAATAGTAAGCATCAATTCCTGGCAGCAGAAACAGATATTAAGCTGTAGTTAAGAAGGTGATAAGACTGCTGACCCTGGTCATTTCAGTATCGAAGGGTCTGCATACCCACTAGTGTTTCACAATGATCCAGCACGTACAGTACAGTGTGATCCAGAACAACAGAGCTATGCTTGCCTCAAAGCGTCCAAGGGGACATCTTGGCACAGAATATTGTAGTGGTCAGACCTGAAGAAGTCTCCACAGCCGAAACATTGTGTTATATTTCTTCTCTTTCCAGCACGGAATAAACCTATTACTTGTTCTTTTGCAGCCTACGCATGCTGACGCAGCTCCCCACCTGAACTATAATAATATTATGCCTCAATAAACAAAATAAAGAGAACACATTGCATACTGTACTTCTAAGTTTTGAAAATATATATGATCAAAACGTTTGTCCCTTCGGTTAACAACCCCAGGATGCAAAAGACAGGAATGACTTCCTCCTAGTGAAAGCTCTACCTGATAGCTCCTAGCTGGCCAGAGGAGAGCAGGGAGGGCATTAGGGTGACGTGACATCTCCCATCCGAAAAAAAACCCAGCACAGCCTTCCAGTCACGCAGGCTGGAACAGAAACATGGCCTGTTCTTACAGCACAGCACTGATTCGCAACGCAGGCCCCAGCGATGAAGACCTTCTCTGTCAAGACAATCTCTCAGTACTGTCGAATATCATCTGAAGGGAGGTCTTCTGCATACCAGCAGCACACAGACGCTCAGAGAGACAGTGTCAAGTTGCATTACTTCAAATCACTCATGACTGATCTTTGAAGCAAATACAGTGAATCCTCGAAGGTTGCAACAAGCTTTCTCAAGGCCAAAACGATGAGCTCAGACTAAGCAAGAGAAAGAGGATTGCTGCAAGACTTTTTCTGCATTAAGAGGGACATAAAAATATGTATTCAGTATGCTGTACTGATACATAAAGTGAATAGAGTGCAACCTGTCTCCTTAGAATTTAGCAAGTGCTGTGGCACTTTACCTGAGCTCAGTCACTGACAAAAACAACAGTTATTTCAGTGCAACGAAGGGTTTAGCTCACAGGCTGTCCAAGTCATACTCGAATGACTGTATAAAAAACAGGAAAAAGAGAATAACCTGCAGAGAGAGGGAGATCACATCTTCAGAATTCACTGTTGAAAGAGTTTTCAACACCAACCACAAACAAAATAGGACACTGGGTCCCACATTAAGATACTGCGATTAGCAATCTGAATTAATCCAGACAGCCAATACATAATGTAGATCACATTTACTGGACTTTTGCCTGAGGGATGGGACTATAGCTGGAACAAACCATTTTGGTGGTTTGACAATGTCCTACAGGACTTGTTTCATATACACCGCAGGCTTTTTGATGGATGCTTTGAATTACACCATGAGATTTCCATGTTAGCACGGGGTAATGAAGCTTTGGAAAAATGCAATATTAAAAACAAGCTTTAGAAACCCTGATATTTTTTTTGCCCTTCAGAAATATCAGTCACACCCAGCTACAACTTCTGATTTATGTCTAAGCCTTGAATTTTTTCTTCTTAGTTTCCCACCAGTGCTGTTCCACTCAGGGGACTGAACCTTTTTTCATTTTTTCCCATCAGTTTCCAGTTCTGAAGGCAGGAATCCAGCAACTCTTTCCGCCTGTGACAAAGAGGGAAGCGCTCTCTCACTTCAGAGCAGAATGTGCCTCTGGTGAAGTGATGGGGGCTGCAAACTGGCTGATCGGGATAATTTCACCACACAAGGAAGAGCACAGAGCTCTCCTGCACTCGCAGATTAAAGCATGGCCTTCATAATAACATACGTGAGGCCAAAGAAATTCCTTTGGCACGACACTTCAAAAAATCGTTTCTTGTGTCTTTCTCAAAATTGATCCCCCCCTCCCCCCCAAATAAAATTCTCCAAAGCTCAAGTAAAGCTCAAGACCATTAATAATTTCTCAGCCAAGCATCGAAGGAGTTGAGGACATTTCTGCCATCCATTTAAACAAAGGAATCAGCAGTGTTCAAAAGCCTTCGCCCTAGAGGCAGAGTATAGCAAACAGCTCACATTAATTTTTTTGCATGAATGTAACACTCTTGACGGAACTCCGACTCCAATGCACATCTACAATCCGAGCAAAAAACAATCCTCCTAAAATCCTGTAATGGTTCATGCAGTCCAGTGCTTACGGCCTGTCGTGGATGACCTTTTAGGACAGCGCCTACAGTATCTACAAAAACGTGAAGCTGCATCCTTATGTATACACTCTGATCGTAGCCTGATACTCATAAACAGAAACCGCACTTGGGTGTATATACAGTTCCGGTCATATAACTGGTATTATTTTTCAAGGATGAAAAAATTCCACTTCTACATTCAGTTAAGCAAATAGCATTGTAAAAATTAAATGGCACTTTTTTTTTTTAATTGAGCTGCAATAAGGTTGTAGAGATACACAATCTAACTGTGTGGATAGCCTGACACTAAACTGATACTTCTCTCGCAGAATTAATGCAATGTTAGCCTTTGTTGCATTATATCTCATATATAGTATAAAATCTCTGAGGGAGAATGAACAGCCTTTGACAACATGAGTTATTGAGAGTCTTGCTTACTAGTTCATCTTCTTTATTCTACAAATGAGACTTGATTTTATTTTGTTTGATGTTTGTTTTCATTATTCATGCAGATTCAATTACCCCAGCAAGATAAACGTCTTTGCTGGGCTGAGGGATTGGAGGACTGCTGGGAGGAATGGAGAGGGGGAGGCTGGAAGTGAGCTGGAGGTCACTCCCAGCATCAGGGCCCCTGGGAGCAACAAGCTCACACAACCCCCCTCCGAAACCGAGGATCCAACCGCAGGGAACGGTTTTCCTAATTCTATTTTTGCCTTGAACAACTGAGGAGACTTCTCCTGACATGCCCATACTGATCAGAGCCCAGAAAGGCAGGCACACTTTAAACAAAGGCCACCAATAACTCATTTTTTATGCATTTGCAAAAAAAAAAAATTATCTCTACAGTGCGAGCTTATGCAGAATTCTCATTAGCAAGTTTACTGTGATTGCTTCTCCGAATAAATTTCCATGTTAAGAAAGTTGCAGACACTGCCTGCCAGCACACTGCCGGAGAAGCGATTTGTGAAATACTTGAACCTGCACTGCAGGCCTAAGACAGAGTCACATCGAATCTGCTCTGATGCTACCAAAGACTGGGAAACCGGACTGTCCATTCAAATGGCATTGCTGTCAGTCAACCATTTCTCTGTTGACGTAGAGTGAAAAGAGTTTTTCTGTAACAGGCTAAAGAAACCCTTCAACGCTATTTCACGCACTCTTTGATCTTTAAAAGATTAAAACCATGCAA